TGCAAAATAACATATAAACTAAAAAATCATTATAACATTATAGAATATTCTAATAAGAAGAAAATAAGAAATTGAAAGACTAATTAAATTGTCTCAAAATTTTATCTCAAATCTTTACCTCAACTTATATATATATATCTCAATTGGTTCATTACCTCAAATAGGATTTATGAATAGTAGTTCACCTAGAGACAAGTCATGATGATAACGTATCGTAAAATAAAAAAAGAATCAATTAGAAGAAGAAGAAAAATTAGAGAGATAAAGTGAGGTAATGCAAAATATATTATATTTCCATTCTTTTCCATTTGTTCTCTATAGATTTCCATACATTTGTAAAAGTAGAAGCCCTATACATAGGAGCTAATAAGAGATAAGAGTTATAAGGAATTAATACCTACTAAATAGGAGGTTTTAAGAATTAATCTCTTACTAATGAAGGGGTTACAAAGAATTTCATTATCATCATCTAAATGCATGGCATTATGAACTGTTAATCATCATTATAATTGCATAGAGGTAGTGGAAGTTGCACCATTATTTGGTGTATAAATACCATAAAAAGTGAGGAGGATGAAAAAGGTGAAGCATCTACAATGAATTGATTCATAACAAAATTATCATTAAATTATTGAAAAAAAATTACTAGAAACAATAATAATTTGAGGAGAGGAGAGAGTTTATTTTGGCTAAAAGGAAAAAGGGGAATTAAGAGGCGATTGGTCTGGCAACTTTCTTGGGAAAATGCCCTAAAATCCATTATCCTGAAGGGTACTTACCACGAACCAAACATCCCTTAGCCTTAAGGATTTGGAATTTCTCCATATGCAAAATGAAACTGCAAGTGGCTTTCGGTTTTTCCCATTTGGAAAGGAGGAAAGAGAAAAGAAAAGAAAGGAGAAATAAAGGGGGTGACTTTCTTTGAATAAATGACTTATTCTTTGTTCCATCATTACTTTTTTCTGGTGGAAAACTGAAAAGGATGGATGCTTTATCCATCTTTGTGAAGGCAAAAAGGATTGGTTTGTGCCCTCAATGGGTGGCTAATTTATTAAAAATTTAATACTTCAATTTAGAATTTTTATGTTGGAGAATCTTGAGTTAAATAAAAAAATAATTTTTTTAAAAAAATTTCTTTTTATATAATTCATAAAAAAAATATTGGGTCATTAACGAAGATTGTGAGCTTAGAGATCCGAGCCCCTCAAAACTCTAAACAGTGCTATAAGTCCATTGGGCCCATCTCCCCCTAAAGCCGTTAGAGGCCCGTTTGATTTCATTCGATTTTGCTATTCTGGCTCCTGGTCCCTTACGCACTCATTGTACCTCCCCCACACTTGTCTTTTTCTTTTATTTTTTAATAAAACTTTTTTTAAAAAAAATACCACTTACATTTAATGAGGCAAATTAGATATGTGAAATTGTAAAGAAGACAAACATTTGAACCTCTAACCTAAAATCAAGTTTTTTAGTGTTAGCATTTAGCAAGCATGCATATATATTGGTTGAACCTGATCTTATTAGATGTAGCTAAGTAGAATGATCAAACTCAAGACATATTGCATGCATCGATTCAATTCAACACCCCAAAAATGAGACGTCCAAATGAACAATACTAAAGACCTTTGATGGCTTCATTTTGTTTTTGTTATTAGGAAACATGTAGAGACTCTAATTATAGACAAGTACAATAAATGTTTGAATTGTAAACCAACAATTAATAATAATTATTAATCATTAAATATCAAATATTAATTATATTTGAACGGTCCACTCCGATCCAATGGCATTGGACCTTGGGTTAGAGTTATTCACCTTCTATGAATTGCACGTTCGAATCTCACAAAAACCCTTTCTCTCATCATCTAATTAACTTGTAAATAATTACAATATATTAAAAAAAATATCAATTATCTTCGATAAACTAATCAAAATAGGACATATATATATTTAAGGTTATATAACTATATAAATATTAAATATATTTAAACTTATGATTTAATTATTATTACTTCAAGTTTTTAAATTAAAAAATTTTAAATTAATGGAAAGTCTCTAAATGAGGGGATTTTCTCTCAATCTAATAATTTCATTTTAATGTTTCGGTGTAATTTACATGATAAAAAACATGAGTCTCTACATATTTGTACCACAACTATCAAAACCTCATTAAATGTAACTTGACATAGCGATATCATTATGGCAAAGATCCTCAAAATTTAACGAAACAATCAACTAAATTAAACTACGTACGATTGACAACAGCCAAAAAAGGAGGGAAAAAAAAAAAAACTAGCCTACTAGCTACTAGTTTGGTTGAGTTGGTTCAGTTTTTTCGTGATAAATATTTAATGTCACACCAAAGCACTTAAAATGGAAGTAAGAAGGCTTGTTAAGTGTTTTTTTTTTTTTTTTTAATGATAGGAGGAAACGATTATATTAAATGCTAGTATTTGTTGTTTTGTAAATGAATCGAATTTTGAAGCTAAGTGCATTCCATCTGCTGTTTAATGAACAACGTGATCATCATTGAGGCCACGTGAAGAATTGCACAAGGCTTGTTAAGTGTTAAATTCCAACACTGGCTACATCAGGTCATCTTGCTAGAATATATATGCACTCATCTTACACGTTATACTCTTTGGTTTTAACTTGAAGGTTGGTTGGCGATACTTGCACCATGTATATACTTTCATTTCTCTAACCTACCAAAGTTTTTTGCCATGTATATACTTTAGACTGGTAGTTAGCTTTAATTCTCTTGAGCATATCTACCCCTACAAGCAACTAGATTTGACTGAGATGATAAACTTTATTAGAACATGAAGGGGCTATGGTTATAATCACACTTGAATGGTAAATTTTTATTTTAATTTAATTATTAAAAATAGTTAAGAATTAATAAAATTGTTAATATTTAAAATTAATTTATAAATATATATATTTTTTAAAATCATAATTAATTATTTTAAAAAATTATAAAGTTAAAGGGTGTGACTTTAATAAAATTTTGGATAGTCTTAAGTACGGACCCATCAAAATCAACGAGTCTTGTATAAACAAGAAATCATAAGTATCTGACGAGAAAATTAGTAATTTAACCTTTTCCTTCTTCCTCACCTAACCTTTGACTCTCTCTAAACACTGTATACGTTTTAATTCTTCATTTTGTTAAAGCTGTTAAATCACATATAATATATATATCCCCTAATTGCTCGACAAACACGCATTAAACTCCTTGAGAGAGAAAGATTAATTCATTACTCTACTGTATGAAAGAGATTGCTAATTATCTGAATGCATGTAAACATTAACATTAAATGATGAACGGGACACGTTTTGAATTAAGAACTAAATATGTCATTGGCTAAAGATGGATGGATGAGACGGGGTATCTTAGTTTCCTTATCAACTTATCTTTTGTTGGTATTTAACAAAGCATATGCCTTGCCATGTCAAGAGAAGAAATAAGAAATATGATCTTTTGTGTGTCTGACCGAAAGATCAACACATTAAATAATTAAATTAATTTTTTTTGACAAAAATTAACACATCGAATAACCAAAAAATTATTATTATTATTATTATTATTATTATTTTGCTAACTTGGGCAGTAGTAGTGGTACGGTGGCCATGTTAAACTTTGTTTTTTTTCTTCCTAATGGGGTTTATAGGAAGAGGGTGAGATGCCAAGTTGGATTTCAGATTTTACACTTGAGTTAAATAAGTAGGAATTTGATAAAAAAAAATATCTCTTATTATATAATTTATTAAAAAATATTAAAAAAATACACATTTTTGTTAGCAATGTACAGTATATTCTAGTCAAGTTCATATATGGATAACCGTATTCTATATTTAAGTTAAGAAGTTCATAAACATGAGTATATTACATCATTTTGTCTCTATTAATTAAATTTAAGTCCTTTTACATTTCATACTTACAGGGAGAAATTTGAGAGAAATTATTTCTTATCACCTCCATCAAGAATTAAACCTTGATAAAAAAAAAGGCAAAGAAATTTATTTATTGTCTCAACTAAGTATAACCCTCACTAATTTAACAATAATTATTTTAAAATGGAGGGAGTATTAAATTAAGGGTTTATTAGCATCATCAATCGTGTGAGACTCAGTCTTAATCCGTGAATAAATGAACATAATTTGAGGGATTGGAATCTTGATTTTTAGGAAAATGTTGGTCTAATATGTATTTTTTTTTCATATAACAAAGACCTTTTTTTTTTTTTTTGGAGTATAAGTAGTACGGTCCAATCCCATTCCCCAGTTATGAGATTGGTTCAACTTGCAGGGATGTTCCCTGCCGTTGTAGAATTCTCTATCCCCAAATTCTACCTATCTTAAAGAAAAGAAGTTTAAGGCGTTGACAGTCTTGTTACTTGCAGTTGCAAATTTATTAATATGCACATTTATTCATTTAAATGTTTAAAAAATCTTTTATTTTATAGTTCAAACTGTAAAATATGAATCATTCAATAAAAAAAAACTCACAATATTAAAAAGCTCAATCCCTTTTATTGTTAATGTTATATAATTTGATACAGTTCAAACTATATAATACTTTTATTATGTTTAAATGTTGTATTAAATTGTATATAAATAAACTATTGAGAAAATATAATATAAATATAATTATTATCACTGTCTAAATTTTAAAAGTGATATAGGAACTATACTATTTTTAATTAATTATTAATAAAAAAGTGAATTTCTAATATTAAAAATCTCATTCTCTCCGCTAATTATTAAGTGAAGGACAGTTCCCGTACTAAAACTTTTAATTTCCTTCAATAGGGCTGAGGACTCATATCTTTTAATCCAGTTTCCAGTGCTTAAAGCAGAAATATATGAGCAAATGCAAAATCTATTCCGAGGAGTAAAGCAAAAACAGTTCCTTTTTTCGCAGCACACCATTTAACGTAGAAGCAAAACCGTCTCTTCTTCCTCTCTATAAATTCGATCCCTTCCAAAATTCCATTCCAGAAAAACAAAATCTAAAGCACATATTCTCCTTCCTCAAATATGGGAAACAAATCTTCGTCCTCTTCTTCTTCTTCATCCTCAAAGTCCTCCATTTCCAACAAGACATTAAGCGGGGTTGGTAACCTCATCAAGCTCCTCCCTACCGGCACTGTCTTCCTCTTCCAGTTCCTCAACCCTATAGTAACCAACAACGGCGACTGCCAAACCGGTATCTACAAGCCCTTGACCGTCATACTCCTCGCAGTCTGTGCCTTCTCTTGTGCCTTTGCCTGCTTCACCGATAGCTACAAAGGCAGTGACGGATTGACCCATTACGGTATGGTCACCAAGAACGGTCTCTGGCCATCGCCGAGCTCAGAGCACGTCAATCTATCGAGTTATAAACTGCGTTTTAGGGACTTCGTGCATGCTTACTTTACCGTGAAGGTGTTTGCTGTGGTGGCGTTGCTGGATGGAAACACCGTTCATTGCTTTTACCCGGCCGAGCAGAAGTCCACTGAGAAAATTCTGCTCAAGGTGTTGCCTCCGGCCATCGGAACTATCTCCGGTGCTGTGTTCATGTTGTTTCCGAACAAGCGGCATGGAATTGGGTATCCCTCTTCTAGTGATGGCAGCGCCACAACTAATACAAATCGCTCGTAATTTGGTTGCAACATATATATGTGAAAATACATCGCATGAGAAAGTTTGGCTTTAATTTTTCTTCTTCTTCTTCTTCTTTTTCTTCTTCTTTTTTCAATCAAATGTTTGTGTGGCTAGCATAATAATTGTGCTTAATTAAGCATGTATTCACGGGCATGGTTATTACCCAAAAAAAAAAAAAAAATTGTTAAGGCCACACAACTTCTCTCCCAAATATATTAAGAGAATTTAATATATTTGAAGACATTATTAAGAGAATTTGAAGACATTATTAAGAGAATTTGTATGGTAAGGCCCATGCCCTGCGTTGAACTTGTTAATTTATTACTTATATTGATTCATGTTCAATTCAATTGAATATGAATAATTATAAATGAGATTAAAATTTAAAATTAAAATTTGAGATTAATGATAAAGTATAAGTTATGTCATTTAAAATATTAAAAAATAAATTATATATTATTTAATAATTAATTTTTTTTATATTTTTGAGATTTATAATATTATATATTAATTAATTTAATAATTTGATTTATGTTATATCATTAATTTTAAATTTTTGTTCTTCTTATCATTACTCTTTGAATATATATATTCTTTTTTTATCATTAAAATTTATTTTATTATTAATTTAAAATGCAAGAGATACTTTTATCCATATACATATATTATACTATCACTTAAGTTAAACTTTTAGTGTTTTAACACATAAATTAGGATAAAACATCCAATCATACAATGAAAATCCACATGCACCTAATTTATCTTTAATCCATAAGAAGGATTTTGTTTGTATAATCTCCACGTGGACCTAATTTATTCTTTTTTTTTTTTAACAAATTATCAAGAGACAAACTTCTATAAAAAAAAAAAAAATGCATCTCAAGTCAATTGAGTACCAATTTACCCGAAGGGAGATGCGCACCTAATTTATCTCTAATCCACAGGAAGGATTTTGTTTGCTTAAAATCTCCACTAATCTGTGAGCATTTGCTTCCACTCCTTTAAAGATCACCCTGTTTCTCAAGCCCCACAAATGCCAAGTGGCCGAGATGACTAAAAAGGACCAAATAACTTTTGTCCTTTCATTCTGCCAGCCTTGAGTGAGTTGCCAAAAAGCTTCCTTCACACTGCCACATACTGCCAGCCTCCAAAAAAACTTCTTTCATTCTGCCAAACAACTTTTGTCCTTTCATTCTACCAGCCTTGGCGGGCTATGAATGCCCCACCAAGCTAAAATCTTCATCCACATGTTGTAAGAAAAGGGACACTTTGCAAACACGTGGTCTGCACCTTCTGACTTCTGTATCCTTCCTGCAAAATGAGCACGAGTTGTTATCACCATCAACTGTGATCCCTCGCAAACTCAAGTTCCTCTTTGTTGGCAACCTGTTCAGGAATGGTGTCCAGGCAAAAAAATTCACCTTTCCAACATGAAATTTATTCCAAATTCACCAATCCAGGAATAGTCTTCAGCCTTGAGTCAATATATATGCCATTAACTCTCCTTGTTCAATTACTTGGTTGTCTTTTTTTAACTTCTTAATCAAAATTTAGGTAAAGTATGAATTAAATTTTTTTTATTTTTTTGTGATATTTTATTAAAATAATATAATTTTAAAATATTTTTTTGTTAATTTTTAAGAAATAAAGTAGATGGATATTATTCTTAATAATATGAAAGAAGATAAATAAGCAAACTACAATTAAAAAGGAGCGGAGGGAGTATAAATGTATAATAGTTTATGGATGTATACTATGGCTTCCTTTTTGAGTGTTGTGCTGCATTGTGCTGAAATTTTTTTTTTTTTTTATAATTTTAAAAATATATAAAATATTAATTGAAATTAATAAAATTATATAAAATTAATTAAAAATAATAAATTTTACATTTTCAAATAGGTGTTTTGTAAAAAAGTTTTGTGCACAACATAAGGAAGCTTTCTTGATGATTATAGATACCTTTCTTTTCCATAAATTATGGATGTTCTAGAAAACCCTTTAAAAAATTTATTAGTTTGGCTTGTACCTCAGGAAAACCACTATTAATAAAAATGTTTTCTTTTTGTCAATGATATATATATTTTAATTCCATAGATAATATTGTAAAATATGAAGGAAAATTTTCGAGGATTTAATTGCTATCACTTTATTATTATTATTATTATTTAAGAATTTACCTTTTTTATTAATCTCTTCAATAAATTGAATTTTGATTAATAAAATGAGAAGCAAAACCCTCGCTAACTAAGGTACATCTCTTTGGGGTTGCTGCTCCTCCGTTTTCAGTCAACAGTTCTGAGCATGATGATTATATCCATCTCCAGACTTGATAAGTTAAGCAAATACTGCATAGAACTTTCAGTTGCATTGATTACATACACATGATGCCTTGCAAATTTGCCCAAGACCCCACATCTAACATCACCCACCACCACCATCTACATTTTCTTACACGCATGGCTCATGCCTCGTTTGTTCATGTTTAATAATTGCCTATATTACGTAAAAGAGTACTGAATTTTTCTTTCTTTGATACAACTTTCAATTATATTTCAGTATAGCCACATACATCTACTGCATCTTGGACTTAGTTATGCAAACAGACCTTTCTCTTAGATAGATGTTGTCTTGCAAACTTTGCCAACAGATTTATACATATATATATAACATCATCCACATATATTTTCTTGCACGCATATATTGCTCATGTGTATATGACCTCATCATTTGTTTATTATCATCCCTTTTGCACTTGCAACTTTTGAACTAATAAGTCAGATTAGAACTTACTGGGTTTGAATCTCGTTTTATGTAAAATATTAGTCGAGATTCGATCCTAAAACCTAACAATTTCAGAACCTTTGCCTTCTTAATGGCAAGTCAAGGCTTCATCTGGTATAGAACTTTCATCATTTAGGGTCAATATATTCTTTTGTTTGTTTACTCAGTTGAGTATAATGCCATTCCCACATCAGAATTTCCCCAGAAATCACCAGAAACTCTTTTTTAATAATGATTTCACATTGTATCAAAAAAATAAAAATAAAATAACGATTACACATTCATTCTAGGGACATGGAAGATTTAAATTTGCTACAATGTTATCATTCTCGGGTCATTTTACAACTTTATGATTCATGGATCGTTTTTACTTTTGAGTGTTACTCTTTTACTCGCTCTAATTCGACCAAATATAACTTTGAAGGCAGAGAGGAAATTAATTAGATTCAGAAAATAGTGTAATTCATGTGTTTATTTTTCATGCATATGCCTGGAGAACAGCTAGAGTATGTTATCCTTCCTGGCCTTTGTCTGCTGGCATTTTCACAAGAGCTCTCAACTTCACCACATCAACCTTCACAATATGGTGATCTGAGGTACCTTTGGATGAGATGACAGAGTAAGATCCAGGAACGAATCTGTAAAGTGAGTCTGGTGATGTGAGAATGTAATCCACACGCGTTCCATACTTGCATGTTCCTTGCACATCTGCATCACCAAAATAAAATCAATATCTCAAATTCCAGAATCTTTCTGCATCACGAAAATAAAATCAATATCTCAAATTCTAGAATCTTAGGAAGAAGAAAAAGAAATAAAACTAGAAGAATTAAATGTACTTTGGCCTTTGGCTATGATAACAACAGGTTCACAATCCCCTGCGTAGTCCTTTGAATCTGAGTACTCTTTTCCTTTGAGGAACTTCATCACTTCAAGCCTTGGTCTTGGTTTTCCAATATCCTCGTAATACTGAAAGCAATGGAATAGTTTCTTAGAAGATATCAAAATGAATTTCATTTAGTTAGAGCTCTTATCTTTTGTTACAGCAGATTTCGAGTTACCTTAACAATGTCTTCCCATCTCTCTGAGGAGTAATCTGATCCGTCTAGAGAATTCAAACCTCCCAACAATAAGTGAGGGGAGTTGTTCAATTTAATTATTGCTTGCACCTGCTTCAATCTCCATTTTTCGTCTAGATGGTCAAGTTGAGTGCAGTAGAAGTTCACTTCTCCTGCCCAAGGAATTTCAATTGTGGCCTTAAGCACATTCCTGGCGTAAAAAAAGAAAGGTTTTGAACAAACTGAAGCTGTTAAGAACGGTTTCATCAGAAAAACTCAAGTCAAAAGGTAAAAATTCCCCTGAATAGTATCAATCATAGAAATATAGACGCTTTGCAGAACTTAAAATCCCTTAAAAAATGAAGAGGGAATTATGCTCACCGGAAATCATCATCATTTGCAATCTTTTGAACTGTCCATTTCTTGATTGGATATCTAGACAAAATGGCATTTCCGTACTCTGGAGCCCAACTCTCAGCAAAGACATACTTCATCCCCAAGGCAGTAGCCAAGTCAGATAAAGGCCTCATCCCTTTTTCCTCCTCTGCCTTCACATCTTGCAATGCCAATATATCAGCATCCACCTCTCTAAGCACTTCTGCTATGCTTCTACTGCTTCTCAAACTCTCTTCACCCCAGAATTTCATCATGCTGGCTGGCAAACACACTGGAGACCTCATGACCATATTGTTTTTCTTTGTTGTGCCTAAGGACATGTCTGGTGATCGTGCCAATGAAATCTCATTATCAGGCAGATTAATCCAAACCTTCTTCTGCCTAGAGAGTTGCTCAGGACTAAGTGAAGGATGCAGGGGAGATTGCTTCAAGATACTCTTTGGGTAATAATTTGGAGACCTACTCTGAATGTCAAACTCGCAAGGACTCCCTGGAGCCACCATATAACCTTCCTCTTCATAACCAAAATTGGCAGATTCCTCAGCTTTGGAAATAGCAGGAGCAAGAGAGAACATTGCAACATTAAATGTAGCAACTCGGATTGGTCTTTCAGAATTCGTGGCGTCTGTTCCTCCTTCTGCTTGACCTCTGGAGTTCAACTTTCTCAACCTTCTGATCACAACCTTTGGTCTTGGCCGCTCATGTATCAGCCACCGTATCCTGGAACAGAGCTGCCGGAGCTTCCTGCTTATAGTAATTAACCTGCATCTCTTACTGCCAAACATATCTTGAAACGTTCCAGTAGCAAGCGTTCGGAAGTCTCAGTAACTACCTACCGTAACTCCAGCAATATATTGAGATCAGACCCTTTCAGAGTCCAGCTTTTTGCCAGACAGAATGAGTAGTAGTCAAAAGAGCTGAACTGGATCAAGCTATAAGGGGAGAGAGGCGTCGGTCAAGGTTAAAAGAGAAAACTGGAGACTTTGACATTAAGGCAAAAGTTGTTCTAGTGACCAAATGACCCCAACTGCTGAAAGTGAGCAAGTAACAATGTTGTTAAACTTATTTTTCGAACACAACAAAAAACAATGTTGTTGGAACTTATTTTCCGAACACAACAAAACCCACAACTGCTACTAGTTAAACAAGGATTCCATCTTACATTTAAGTAGAAAGTAGAAAGCCACCAATTACAAGTAAATGAGTAAAAGAACTTCTCTATGTCTTCAACAGTGTAATCACACAAGTTTTCTATGGTAGGTTCAACAGAAAACCGCAAAGAGAAACTACCAAAACCCAGTTGACCCTGTAGGATATGTGATATAAGAAAGCTTGCTTAGATTCTACACTTTCGATTCCCTGTAGAATGTGAGTGATCCATCAGGAGAAGTGAAAGCTACACTGCCAGTGTTCAGAAATCAGTATCTAAAGAAAGCTGTGCACATGGATTTTATGTCCGTAAGTTACATGTCTTACAAAGGGCCTTCTTTGCTTTTAATCTGTAATTGATGTCTTAGGGAAGTAATTTATCCCAAAGTAGTTGACCTTATGAGTTTTGGGCCCTTGCACAGTTACACCAACTCATACTTTGGGTCCTTCTTGACTTCGGTTTCCTGCAGGCCAATTTTCTTGTACGGTAGTAAAAAAATTCAAAGAACACGGAGAGAGCATCGATAGGGCGGGGCACCCAGAACAAACACCACGAGTGAACTGGAGCTCAACATCAATTAATCTTCTTAAAACTAACATTAAATACACGATGATAGTATTATCCTTGCAAATTGCAATCATCTTTACAGGGGATGCTGACCAAAACAAAGATTAAACCAAAGTTAGGTGTCCTCAGTCAATCATGGCACAATTGAATGGGCTACCGTGCAATCATTGCACAAGCAACCCTCATCACACGTTGCAAAAGCAGATGAGTATAGAATATCGACCAGTTTAATGTCAAAATTTAGCTCCGCAGGGAAGCCATATCAATTATTCCTTTAATTACTCATTACCGTACTGCTGGGGAGACGTTATAAGACCCAAGAGGAGACAAATTAGTAGCCCATCACATGTTTTGACACCGTTATGAAATTAAAAAATTAATTCAACAGTTTTATAAGATGTAACACATTTAAGCCACTAATCATTTATTTATTTATTTTTTTTATGTGATACTATTATCCTTCACACTCATAAAAGAACAACTTACTTCAACACATACAATGAAGCAAGAAGGTTAGAAAAAGAAACAACATTTTTGCTCTCATCAAAGAATCCATCAGATGCATTTTCTCTTTTGGATGGTTGCTCCTCAATGGTAGAATCTGCCACTTCAGTGCAGCAATTCCGTCTCACTTGTTTTGCAGGTCTATCTGCCACAACAAACTAGTTACCACATAGGTACTCTCAGAAAAACCAGCCCAAACTGCACAAAGCCATGTTATAATCAGTAGACAAGAAACAAAACCAAGTTTAACAGTTTAGATATCAATGGTAGCATATGTAACTGACTGAACAACTTGTATGAGGGAGTCAATCAAATGGACAAAAGGATGAACCGTAAAATCAATTATGGGCACTTTAGGGTTACTGTTTATTACTTATCTTTAATGACATTGGGTGAATATAGAATTTTAGGTAGAAAAACAGACGTCCACGAACAATATTGACCTATAGCATTAGAAGAAACTCACAGGATCAAAACTTTCACACATTAAAGCAGTATTCTGTTCCCAGATTATCAACATATTGGAGATTAAATGTTCAAGAGATCAATTAGAGAAAGCTCCACTTTGAAGGACTTCATTTTGTGCAAATATAGCCTATGCTGAGCTTCTTGCAAACCAAATAGGGAGATCCACTCCACGGTTCACAAGTATGACAAGCAAAGAGGATGAGGATTTTGCTTATGTTGAATAGTTTGTAAATGTTTGAGATCCCACGTTAAGAAAGTATGAGAACTTAAAGAAGTTTATAAATGCTTATTTTTTATCAACAAATAATTAAATGAAGTGAAATTCAAGAAAAATTGAACTTTGATCCTTTATATATAGTCAAAAGATGAGGGCACTTGGGATTTGATTGCCAGAACATCTTTAATTTTTTATTATTTTTAGATTTTTTATTTTATTAAGGTACCTCTATAAAATAGTGTTTTTTTGAAGGGATATATCCCTTTGAATAGTGACTTTTTAAGTATTATAAATTTTTATGCAAAATCAAAGTTTTACATCTAATTCTGAGAGAGTTTTGAATTCTGTTATATTTTGAAAATTTTTAAATCCTTAAAAAAAGTGAATTCATGTCTCAGAACAATTCTTTTATTTTTCTGCCATTTCATATTCTCTTATAAGCTTATGTGAGAATAGATCAATCACATAGAATGTTAAATTGAGATTCAACCACTAAAAAGGTTATGCAGCGAGAAGACACAACCCTGTTAACAACTGCCACTGAGAAAACTTGAATGGAAGGAAGGCAACAAGAACGATACCAGATTGAAACGTCTAAAAAGGGTTGGAAAGAACAATCAACATTCACAGAATAACCTCAGAAAGATCCAAACTTTGACTTGCAGAATGGGATATAACTTTCACGTAAACAATATGCATTAACATTCACCAACTCTTTCTTCCTACAATAGTTTCTTTTGCCAAAATTTATTCCCCATAGAAAATTATATCAGAATGTTGTTTTTCCGTCCGGACTACACAAAAATGTGTAATTCAGCCCATGAAAGTACCAAAACACCCTTAGAGGCTGTTTGGTTGGAGAAACTTTTCCTTTACCATTATGACAAAATAAGAATATCAACTTTACACCTTTTTGTATTTAAATATATTAATTTTTAATTCTTTTAGTTAAAAATATTAGCTTTTAATTTTTTTTATTTAAAGATCCCAATTTTTAATTTTTTAAATTTAAGAATTAATTGGATGAAAATACTAATGTGATAAATAAATTCTTTAACTAAAATATTGAAAGTTGATATCTTTAAATAAAAAAATAAAAGTTGATATTTTTAAATAAAAAAAATTAAAAATTAATATTTTTATTTAAAAATTAATAAAATTTACATTTTTAAATAAAAAATATATAATTAACATTCTTATTTATACATTTTTTCTTCAACATTCTCTCTTATAAGATTATTTAAAGAATTTTCATACATAAATAAAAGTAATATTTTTAACCTTAATTTTCCCTTCCACAATTCTTCACTTATAAATCTTTTTTACTACACTTCATTTATTAAAAAAAAGTTTCCTTAACTTTTCATAAGACTCACCTACTAACTTTTCCTTTATACTTTATTTATTAAAAGAAAATGTTTTTACTAGTTAAAAACTTCTAACTTAAGTAAAGGTTTATATTAATTTAAATAATTCAATAATTATCTCTTTTTACTTAAAATGGATTTTGAATTCCAATCATATTATATGTGTAGGGCGAGTGGGTTGAGCATGTAAAATAACAGATGAAAGATAATTGTTTATATAACTAAGATAAAATAATAATAATAAAAAATAAAAATTTTAAGTTCAAATTTAAGCTGGGTGTAAAGAGGTCAAGGGTGAGAGGAATACTTACCATTGTATAGCTCATAATCTAATTGAAAAAAAAAAAAAAAAACCATTCAACTAATTACAAAGGTTAAAACCCCTTTTTAGTCCTTGAACTATTGTACAGATCTTCTGATTTGGTTCCTAAACTAAAAAAATTTCTGATTTGGTCCATACTGTTTACCATTTTTACTCCGATTTGGTCCTTCCGTTAAAAATTGTGTGACGTGGCCTGTTACTTCACGGTTACCAAATGATATGTCATATAATAATCCATGTGAAAGATAATATAGCCAAAAAGTGATGATGTGAAAAAAATAATAATATAAAAAAATATTATAAAAAATAAAACTTCACTACAAGAAAAATGATTTTTAGTGACAGAAATTTGTGATGAATTTTGAAATCATCACTATAACTTATTATAATTATGACAGATTTAAAAAATATATCACAAATGCATACATATTTAATGGTGAACAAAAAAATTCATCATAAAAAATATATTTCGTTATCGAAAAATATTCATAGAGATAAAATAAACTTTTGTCGATAAAAATCATCACTATAATGCATTACAATTATGACAAAATTCTAATATTAGTCACATATACCTTACACATTCAATGATGACCCAATAATTTAGCACTAAAAAATATATTTCGTCACTAAAAATTGTCAGTTTTCTCTAATCAATGTATCCCACATCAATAAAAAACACATAAGAGAATAAAGTTTTGCACTATAAATATATCCCACATCGACAAAAAATATTTAAGAAAATAAATTTTTGCACTATAAAACATG